TAAGAACACGGAGCGAGGCGCTTGATGGGAGGATTTACGTACAAAAACGACAGTGGCGCCATCTTTTGCGTCTGCTTACAAACAGACACCCGCTCATCAAAATTAAAACACACACACACACACGCGCATGTGGCAATAGGATGGGTATGAATACGCTGATTTATAAACGCGCTCGTTTGTCCAGGAAAGCTGTGAGCATTGCGCCGTTTCCTAGCAGCGACGCCACCGTCTTTCCGTGAGGTGAGAAACAGGAAATCCCGACCGAAAATCCGTGTTCCCCCGGGAAAGGTCTTCGATACCCCTTCGTTCATTTTAAAATTGTGCCCCCGATATCCTTTTTTTTTTTGTGTTCAGCCTTAGGTCGTAGTCGTTTTTAGTTTCTTAAATAAAGCTCTATGTAAAAAAAAAAAAAAAAAAAAAAAAAAGGTATTGAGCTAGATTCTCGACGAACAGAGCAACGAACTTTCGCATTGTAACCGATCCCTGTTTTTCTTCATCTTTTTTTATTCATTTATCAATACTTATGGCCTTGTACAGAATAGGTTGATAGGTAGTTCCAGAATTGCACCAAACTTTAACTTGCGACGAATGAAATGACTTGGGATGTCGCACAAAGCTATCCCCTTTTAAAAAGCGCAGGAACGCAACAAAAACAAAGCCTAATACAATTTCAGCTCAAATTTGCGCCCATAAGAATTCCTATTACGTTATATAAAGGACGGACGAGAGATCAGCACATTTATTTGAACATCAGCTGGCTCACCCTGTACACGTTTGTCTATCGCAAACGGAGCGGTAGGACCCTTTTTTAATTAACTGGTTTCACGATAGAGGAAAAGGACTAGAACGAAGAGAGAGAGGGGCATTGAGAGGATCGTTCGCCACTGTGGTCGTTCAAGCATGGTTTTAAAGCCCCCCCCTCCCCTCTCCTTCTCCCGCCCCGCATAAACTTGTCACTTGAAGGATTCTCGACCGCCCTGTAGCATATGTGACTCCATTTTTTTTTTCGCCTGGTGATTCGGTTTTATGCGCCTTTCTTTATTCTAGTATATCGCTGAAAAGGAAGAGCTTGTTTACGGTTTTATGTGTTCCCGACGGAGCTTCGGAGATTATGTCTTGTCGGTGTGTATGGTTGCTTATGCGCTTGCGTGCGCATCTGCGCTCGTGTGCACCGTGTCTCGGTTTGACGTCTACACTTACCTTAAGTTTGAGCATTTTATTAATTTTATTTTTGCTTAGATCGCCTTTTTTTTTTATTATTCCAAGGATTACGATGTTGATACCTACCATTTGCGAGCCTGAGAGTCGGAGACTCGTGTGTTCGCTGCATCTGCAGTTGGCCGTACCATTTTTTTTTTTTTTTATGCAGCCAGAAACGCTATACTTATCGCTTGCAAATGGAAGTGCTCTTTGGCGAGGCAGCTTCCGATATCGCTCGCCAGAGACTCGGACAAATGGGAAATATGTGTTTGTCCGTTCTGTACGTCAATATTTGCCTCTGCTCTCTTTTTGCTGTTCTCTTTAGCAGTAGGAGTGACGATTCGTGCTCGCATGTTGTGGCGTGACCTCGGTTCAGTTGCGGATAGACGGGTGTACAAATAACGCACCATCGCGCTTACTCGCACTTCCTCGCTTTCTAGTTCACTGATCTGTTCCGTCGCTCGTGCACTCACTCGTCACTACATTCCTTATTTCACTCACTCATTCAATGTATCGCCGGTTCGCTCAGTCGTCAGGTAATTCATTATTTCACCTATTCACTCATTGATTCCCTCAGTCGGTCACTCACAGATAAGTTAAATCATTATTCCACTCCCTCGCTCATTCATTGCATCACCTGTTCATTCAACTCATGCATTGCATCGGCCGATAGTTAATTCATTATTTCACTCACTCATTTAATCACTCGTTCATTCGCTAGTTTATTCCGTTATTTCCCTCATTCTCTTACTTATAAATTCACCAACCAATTTCATTACTAATTAATTCCCTCACTCGTTAGTTCATTCACTAATTTACTTCTTTACTCAACAGTCCACCCGTTCTCTCACTCATTTCCCTCGCGCTTCAATTAATTCATTAATTCACTCACTAATCTATTTCCTCACTCGTTCACTCACTCGTTGGTTCAGTTGTTGATTCACCGCCTTACTCGTGAGTTCATTCTATCTTTCGCTCATATGCTCGCTCATCGGTTCAGTCATCAATTCCCTCACTCACTCGCTCACTCTCCGACTCGCAGTCGTACTCGCTTGCAGGTTAACGACAGAAACGCTAACGCAGTCGATCACCCCCACGCACCCTCCGCACAAGCCCGGCACAAGCTCCCAGCACACGTCGTAGCATGCCTCGGTTCCTACGTTTTGCTTCTTTTCTTTTGCCGTTAGCCCCGACGCTTGTCTTTGACTCCTCGACGCAGTCAGCTGGCACGGACAATGAACATCGGTTCATTCGTCACGAGTCCCGCTGTTGCGAACAAGCGGACCGGAAACGAGCCTTCTAAATACGCCATCGCTTCGCTATATGTGTACATGCCTTGTACGAAAACCCTTTTCTTTCTTGTTCCCTTTTCCTTCGGGGGCACACGTCTCGCGAACTACGTCCAAGACTGAATGGCACTCGTTAGCCGGACCCATGAGAAACACGTCTCGTTAAATTCGCGGTCGGCGGCAGCTGCCAGAGCATATATAAACTCTTTCTGCGTGCGGTTATTGTAACACCCGATACTGCGCGTTAACAGTCACAATACGCGGGTTTCAGTATAGGGGATCCCTAACGCTTGGGGTTCTCCGAGCAGGCGCCGCACTGCGCGTGCGCGGAGGTTTTTTGCGCATGCGCAATGCGGTGACCCAAGCTGTTTGATCTACCCAAAGCGTTGGGGGTCCCCTATTGTAAATCTGTCTCTCATCTGCTCGAAGGGGCACTTACACTTCTTATCGTGCAAACAAAAAGTAAAAAAAAAAAAAAAAAGTGCGGCGGGAGTGATTTTACGCTAACCGACATGCGACCCTAAGAACGAGTTACAATTTTACTGTAACACTGCACCGCAATCGTGTCCCGAAACAAAAAAACGAAAAAAAAAAAGAGAGACTAATGACTTTTCGGGACGGTCACTTCTTTTTTTTTCGCGTGAAAGGGGAATATGGAAGGATGCGATGTGTAGGGAGTATGTTAGGGAGAGTAGGCGAGGACCGGAAGAAAAGAAAAGACACGAGGATTTGGGGAAATGATGGCAAGGAGTAGAATGGTTGCGGAAGTGACGGAGGGGAAACGAGAAATGGGGAAAATGATTATGAAAATTTATGAAAGTGAAATGAACAGCCGTGGGATTTTAGGGAATTTTTATGCCGTGAAAGACGGCAGGGAATTGTGTTAGGGATAGACGTATGGGCAGTTAATAGAAAGGGCGTGATAGGGAAACTGGGCGAGTCGAACAAGTGTGAGGCGGTGCAGGGCAAATGGGAAAATGAAGTAAACAGTTAGGGAAGATGCGTGGCGTAAAATACGACATGAAACTATGATAGCATTATAAGCTTATCGAAGTAGGAAGGGCGTCGTAGGGAGACTTCGGGAGTCAAACAAGTTATACGAAAATTCAAATTTGAGCGTTTTACATGCCAAAACCAACAACAAGCATCTGGTACGTCCCAGTGGAGGACTGAGGATTAATTTGGACTAGCTGGGGATCTTTTGACGTGCAAACGAAAGCTCGGTTACGTGGCGCCTTTTCCGAAATAAGCCACCGTCAGATTGCGGACACCTCGGCCGGGATTCGAACCCGCCACCAAGCTGTAACACGGAGTAGGGAAAATAGGGAAGTGAAATAAATAGCTTTAAGGGTGCTAGGGAAGATACATGACTTAAAAAGCGGCAAGGAACTGAGAACGGCAGGAGTTTATGGAAGTAGGAAGGGCATGGTAGGGAAACTTGGGTTGTCAAAAAGCTGCAAGACGGAGCAGAGAAGAAAACAGGGAAGGCTCAGTAAAAAGTTGCCCGGTAAACTAAAGGAACGGAATGAAATAAATGTGAAGGTTAAGGAATATGGTAGTGTGCCTAAAAAAAGAAATAACAGCAAAAAAAGAAAAGAGAAAACAACCAAGCAGACCGTATGATAAAACGGCTTAGAGGAGGAAGTTGGGGAAATTGGGGAAGCGCAAATGAGAAAGAGGAAGAGATGGGAAGGAGTCTTTATTCTTTCTTTTTTGTTCCTGTCCTTCCCGGTTAGGTGGCCATTAATCACGCCGCTTTAATGATCCCCATTATCGGACGTGGGGCCAGAAAGTTTTTGACCTCGGGAAGTGGGGACATAATTAAGTAACCAAAAAAGAGATACTCTCGTGCAGCACGGACGCGTTAGAGGGACGTGAAATCTATCGGTTTGGCTTGCTTCTTTCTTGAAGTTTTATATACATTATTTTTTAACATGCCTGTTTTTTTCTTCTTGTCCTTGCGACAGTGCCAACCGAAACGTCGAAAATACGTTGGATTCAACCTAACATTTTGGATTGTAATGTGGCGGGCGAGTGGTTGCAACCCAAGTGACTTCCGGAATCCATGGTGTCGCCTTCTTAAAAGCTTGTCTTCCTAGTTTGACGTTTAACGCAGCGTGTTTTATCAGCCGAATTCAACGAGAAAACTGTTACAAAAGAACCGTCACGAACGACTGTGACATCGAGCGACATCTTAACGTCATCAGCGTGACGTCACGTGACATCGGACGTCATTTGACGCCGTGGCGTCACGCGACACAATGAGGTCACGTGACATTATGATGTCGTGTGATGTCTCATAACGTCACACACGGACACAACAGCAGATGCCCCGACATGTTCTGTGCTCACCAGTCTTCAGTGTGACCAAGCGAGTGTAATGTAGTTTTATTTTTCATTTTAAGCAAACGCGAATCTTGATGCAACATCCTAATGCTTCGCGCTAAAAAAGAAAAGAAAGAAATGTTGAGTTAGTTTTCCTTTAACACAATTTTTCTTCCTCATTTGCAGGTGAGTCCTTGGACACATGCTTCTGCCGTCCTGCAGTCCGGCGGCGCTGGGGTCGGACATCAGGTCTTCTCCGCCGCCAACCCGGGAAATCAGGTTGGCAACATTCAAACCTGAAAAAAAATCTGCGGGACAATTTGGCGCGAAAAAGAGCAATGCGTTCGAGTTGTACGGTGGTGCGGACCGCGTGAATTATTCGCCCGGCTGTAAGGACAGGTTCACTGCCCTCAACCAGTACAGGATTTGCTTCCATACGAAGAAACCATGATAAAATTTCTCTTACGTAAAAAAAGTTACAACGCTGCTGAAACAAATCGGGACGACTCACCCCATTAAGCAAGAACAACACCAACAAATTGTCCCCCTTGTTCCCCTTCTCCGGGGATTACATTGTCGTTCTTGTCCAGCTCGCTTGCAGTTTTGCATTAATTGCGTTATCATCATATGAACCACACTTCATAATACCATATAAAGAACCATGTGACAGTATATATACAAATGTTTTCTCAGTGAAGCACGCACAGGTTATTTCGATGTTTTACCATGGTTGTACCATCATTTGCCTGTGAGATGGCGCATAAATAAATTTTTGTTTTTCTCACTAGTCTTTACTCATTATTCAATTAGCGATACTTTATTTAAATGGATGTAGCGCGCACGGCAGCGGAACATATTTGATGCGTTTTATGAGTATAGCGCGTGTGTAAGATATGAGAGATTCTCTTGAACCACTTAAAATCGTAAAGTTCGCTAAAAAAAACAAAAAGAAAAAAAACAAATTTTTTTTAAAATGTTTTAATATATACAATTATTTCACATGCTGATATGGTATACGAATCGTTTCAGTGCCTACGCCGTTTTTTCTTTTTTTTTTTTTAATGGTGTCAGGAATCCCGAAAAGTGGTCACTACTGCTGTTCTGCACGCTCTCGTATCTTTTTTTTTTTTCTCTCTAAAATTCTAAGACTTTTCTACGATGTCATTTGTTACTTGCGATACAACTCCCCCGTACCCCTACGGGATCGCACTATACCAAGGTACGCTTCGTTCAGCTTGTTTTCCACAGAACTCGTCGTTTATACCCAACACGAGACCCGCGCACCTGGTTTTTTACGTCACCTTCTTCGATTGGGGGGGGGGGGTCTGGGGCACATACCGGACACGAATGCCGCGCCATCGTTCGGCTGCGACTCGCGTTCGAACGGCATTTCTCTGATTGGACCCGATCCCCGGTAGAACGCCGACGCGGTGTTCGGCTACGCGTTCCGTGCGCTGCGCGTCAGAAACACGAGCAAACAATTCACCATTCTGATGATAGCCTGAGACTGAGGCAGGAAAAGAGGAAGTTTCAAAGTAGAAGAAAAAGGAACAGTCGAGGATACGTCTCTAACCGAACTGACGACACGAAAATCCCTTTTCTCATTTGGGTATCCAATGCCCATTACGTTTTCCATTCTGCCAACAGCCTGTTCAATAAACGCCGCTCTTTCCTCCTGCCTGACTATTCTTGCAACCGACTGTATAGAAGAAAATACATCCACCCTTGACGGTTTTACATCAATACAAAACTTCGGTCCGTTTTCCAACACTGCTTGCGTCTTCCTTGATAACACTACGCCACCCGGATTGATAACAGAACCTCCACGCATCCGATCGAAAAAATTAAAAACCCGTGAGTCTCTATCCCTTCCCTCCTGAGATTTCATCTTAATGCTATCCAGAACATGCCTTCGTTTGACATACCACATACGGTTGAAAACTGTCCTCCTGATGCTGTTCCAAATGATGTAGTCCCTGTGCCGCTTGAAATCACCTCCCACCAGGAGCTCCCAAAGTCTTTCGGAAGCGCTGCGTATTTCTTTGATCCGGTGACTTGAGGCTTCTCTGTACGCCTTGAGGATCCTCTTCTTGCCGCTCCAATGGCTTCCCGACGCTGACAGATGTTTGAATGCAGCTGGGTCCACGAACCTTTTTCGGAGGCAGATGCCGAAATATGCAACCTCGGCCTCCAGCTCCGCCAGTCGACGTCCCAGTCGGTCCAGTACTTCTACTGCTTGAGAAATCCAGGCGGTCGGTGTCGTTGATGATGCGGTTGTACATGAGAAGGGGACCAAGCCTGCTTCAGGTATAATCAATGATATTGTAGTGAGTGCGCAGGCGAGCTGGTGGAAATGCGATTAGAGACGTATCCTCGACTGTTCCTTTTTCTTCTACTTTGAAACTTCCTCTTTTCCTGCCTCAGTCTCAGGCTAACATCAGAATGGTTAATTTCCACCAGCTCGCCTGCGCACTCACTACAATATCATTGAAACAATTCACGTTGTCGTCGCCACGGGTCTAGTTCTCAACTTAACCGCTTGAAGGGGGGCGGGTCCTTCTTCTCCAATAGCGCGACACTTCGTACAAACCTTCTGATAACGGTTCGTTTTCATCCCTAAAGCTGCCTTTTTTTTTTTCGTTCCCTCTACTGGTCAGTAGATGGCCCTGCTGCTGATCGGTCATCAGGCATTTACACCGAGACGCACGGCTATGCTATGAATGACACACGCTCCAGCGCATTACTTCTTCACCAGCTGCCGATTGGCTATCAGGAGGGCCATACGCTAGGCGTCTAGCTCCAATCAGCGGCCACTGAATTATTGACGACGAATTACCTTAGTCGTCAACAGAGAAATACGAAAAGGGATCATCGTTTGTTTTCGTTTTCTTATCGATGGCTCGTCCCTCTACCACAGCGTCGGTTACAGAACGCGGGTGTGATTATATCTAGGCTGTTACAGACCGACGAAACGTGGGTAATTAAAATGGGGGAAAATCGGGAAAACACAGGGGGTAAGGGGACAACGCGAAGGAGAGAAAAGAGGAAACAATCACGCCGAGAATGAACGTTTGAAATCATGGGGTCCCGCTTGCCTTATTTCCATTCTGGTTAACGATCCAGCCGTGCACAATAGCTGACTGCGTCTTCGGTAATTATGCCTTTCTCCTGGGAGGGTCTGAAGCAAAAACAAACACTTGCTCAGGGGGTGCAAGCAATGGTCGGCGTCGAGCTGTTACTCGATTTGCTGGCTGTCCTTTGTCGCTGGCCGGTGACTTTCGGTTCTGATCTCATTTCTCCAAGGAAATGCCTCGCGTTTCTTTTTCTTTTTTTCTTCTTCCTCTCATTGTTCGGCAAACAAAAGATATCGCGTGAAAAAAAAATCGTTTTGTTGTTTTCTTTGCTTGCAACGATGGCTTTTGCCGCTGTAAGTTTGGGGAGGAGGGCAATAATTTTGTTTCAGGGAAAAGACTAGTCGATGGAACAAGGCATGAAAGAAAAGGACCATAGTTCATCGTAGAAAAAAATAACAAAAAAAAACGGTAACTGTTGCTTTGGCAGTGCAATCTTTTGTTTGGGGAACGAGGATACAGCTAACTTGACTCTCTTGAATAGGGTCTGGTACAAATAACAAAACGTCGTTAAAAAATAAAAAGAAAACTGCGTTGAAATTGAATTGGGGAGAGAAGGGAGAAGTGTGGGGGGGGGGGGGGGCAGGCACACCGGATGTGACGTAACGAAGCGTGGAGGTCACGTGGTGTCTTTGTCTCTCTTGCTTGCCGTTTATACACCTTTCCAAAAAAAACTCGACCCCAGGGGCCACAAACCGTTTTCGAGCCCAGTCACTGAGTTTGAGGCTAGACTGTCACCGGCGTCCCTCCTAACCCTAACCGAGTGGACTGTGATTTCAATAGGCGCAGCCTGCGTAGGCGCAGTTTCAAACGCTGCTGGCGGCTAAATTCTCGTTTTTCCCGCAATATTTTGTGTTTCATTGTACATGTATTTTCCCGAGGGCCATTGAGAAAGCATTGTGCTACACTAAAAAAAAAACAAAAAAACTGTAAACTGTTTTTGTTGGGTACGCGCGCGACAGAACGAGTGCGACTGGAATGTATAGTTCTAGTTATTTGTTTTTTTCTTACGATCAGTTTTGACGACGACGCGGGATTCGCCGCATGTGAAGCGACAAGGCGCTTTGCTGTCAAAAATAAATTGCAACAGAAGACGGCCGAAAGGCATGCATTTTTCACGCTCACAAATAACGTGTTTACCGATGGACAGGACACGGACATACAATGGAGGAAGTGGTAACATTAGAACAATATATCGTACATACCACACGATGCAGCGTTATCCAAAAAGAATTTATTTGAGAAAGATCTCAAATAACGCAGTCACAGTCGACGACAGTCACATCTTGACGATCGGCGGGAATCCGAGATGACTTCGTTTGGGGCGCGTTTCGGGGAGAGCTTCCTTTTTTTCACAACCGCACCAAGGCAAAGAAACAAACGCGACTGACCCGTTTCTCACCCCAACCCGGGCAACTATTTTTGGAGATGACTGAGGATTCTACGCGGATTATCTCTGGGAGGGTGGAGAACAATGTTCGCAAAATCGCGTCGAGGGTCGTTCGACGTCCTTCACCTGCTTCGTTTCCCGTGAATGTCGAGCAGAAAAGCTTGAATGACAGGCACTTACCAGCCTTATTTCTCACAATGGAAGATAACACAAGAAAGGTAGGCAGCACGCATAAAAAAATGAAGTGGAAACTTTCAAGAGAGCGAGAAAACGTCGAATGCAAAACGGCTAAAATGCATGTAGAGAACCGCGCTGAGCGGGTCTTCACAGTCCCAGAGAGTGGCAGAAAACTTCTAGCTGATAGAGGGCGCGAGAGTCGCACCAGCCGCATCAGCATCAGCAACATGGCGGCGGCCTAGGAGCGTTTTTTGGAAAGGTGTATAAAGAGGCGCGTTTGACCGCAGGGGCTGCAAGGGCGCGCAGCTTCTGAGGGGAGCCATTCTACGAGGACCGCAACCCAAGCGCGTTCCCGGTTTCGCAGCCCGCGTTTTGGCGTGACTTCAGAAACACGAGTTGCAGTTTCGAACGGACTCGTACCCCCCCCCCCCCCCCCCCCCCCCCCCCATTTCAGATACGTTCCTTACTCAAGATACTGTATTAAAAGTGCTCAACTGTGGTGGGATTTTGGTCCCTTGAAGACATAGTCAGCCCTTTCTTTTTACTCTTTCTTTAATCGCGTTTCTTTTGCATCTTCTACT